TTCTCCCACCTGATGGGAGCTGGGAGTGATGGAATTTCCAGGGCTCCCCGTCCGCTCCTCCGTCCAGACTCAGCCGCCTTCGCCCTCGCCCTGCCGTATCCGGCTGCTCAGTGCGCCTTGGCTTCAAGGGGATCAGGTAGGACTGAGGCCGCGGAGGTGGGTCGGGGGCGGGGGCAGCGGCTTGAGCCACCGCGGCTTGAGCCACCGCGGCTTGAGCCACCGCGGCATCCCAGTGCTTCCCCTCCCCCCCCTTCCGTCGGAAGAGGCCCGAGAGGAGCAGTGTGAAGGTGACCTCTGGGGCATCCCAGTGCTTCCCCTCCCCCCCCTCCCGTCGGAAGAGGCCCGAGAGGAGCAGTGCTAAGGTGACCTCCGGGGCATCTCAGCGCGTCCCCCTCTCTCCGGAAGGTGTCCCCTCGCTTCTCGTCTGCCCCCTGCTCCCTTCTCCCTGCTCCTTCCTTCTGGGGCGAGGCCAGCGAGCCCAGGCCAGCCCGGGCCTGCCCGGCCTGCCCGGGCCAGCCCAGGCCAACCCAGGCCAGCAGAGGCCATCCGAGGCCAGCTCAGGCCAGCCCCGACCAGCCCAGGCCAGCCTGAGCCAGCCGCGACCAGTCCGGGCCAGCCGAGGCCAGCCCGGGCCAGTCGAGGCCAGCCCAGGCCAGCCCAGGCCAGCCCAGGCCAGCCATCCTTTTCTCCCTCATCCCTCCTCCCTTCTCCCTCGTCCCCGTCCACTCCTCCGTCCAGACTCAGCCGCCTTCGCCCTCGCCCTGCCGTCTCCGGCTGCTTAGTGCGTCCTGGCCCCAAGGGGGTCAGGTAGGACTGAGGCCGCGGAGGTGGGTCGGGGGTGGGGGTTGGGAGCGGATCCAGATGGTCTCCACCACCCACGCTGGCAGACTGCGGTATGCCTTGCAAGGACTGGATGGCTGACCCCAGGGCAGATCCCTTTTACAGCTCCCTGTCCGCACTCACGTGCGCTCACTCGGGAAACCCTTGGTGCAAGGTGGGATGCCCTCCATCCCCTGCTTCCCCTGGGATCGCCAGGGAGGTGGGGGGGCCCTCCTTCCCCCAGAGCTGTTGTCCCCTGTGCGCGGATGTGGGAGCCGACTGAGGTCAGGCCGCGGCTGGTCCACCTCCCGGCTGCCCTCGGGGTGCTGTCCCTGCAGCCCTCAAAGAATGCCCACAGTGGCCACCAGCCAGCCTCCTCCTCCTCCCTCCTCCCTCCTCCCTCCTCCATCCTCCTCCCTCCTCCTCCTCCCTCCTCCTTCTCCTCCTCCTCCTCCTCCTCCTCCCCTCCCTCCTCCCTCTCCCTCCTCCCTCCTCCTCCCTGCCTCCCTCCTCCCTTCCTCCCTCCTCCCTCCTCCCCCCTCCCTCCCATCCCTCCTCCTCCTCCTATCTCCTCTCTTCCTCTTTCCCTCCTCCCTCCCCCCTCCTTCCTCCTCCTCCCTCCTCCTCTCCTCCTCTTCCTCCTCCTCCTCCTCCTCCTCCTCCTCCTCCTCCTCCTCCTCCTCCCTCCCCCTCCTCCCCCTCCTCCCCCTCCTCCCTCCTCTTCCCCTCTCCTCCCTCCCTCCCTCCCTCCCTCCCTCCCTTCCTCCTCCTCCTCATCCTCCTCCTCCTCCTCCTCCTGCTCACCCCTCCTGCTGCTCCCTCCTCCCTCCTCCCTCCACCCTGCTCCCTCCTCCTCCCTCCTCCCCCTCTCCTCCCTCCTCCTTCCTCCTCCTCCTCCTACTACTACTTTCGGCCCCCCATCCCCCATGGGGCCTTCGCCGGGCCTCGGGGCCGTCAAAAACGATTCAGGATGAGAAACCGTTCTCGGGGAAGGGGTCTGGACCTCTGGGGGTCGAACGGCCCTCCGCGCGGGAACACCAACCTCGAGTTGTCGGCCACGCGCAAAGGGGGGTAGGGGGAGGGAGGGAGGCTTCTTAGAAGCACCCTGCTTCTTAGAAGGCGCGGGCTTTGTCTGCAGATGTAAGGCCGGCGCCTTGTAAGAAGCAGCCTCCTTCTAAGAAGCTTTCCCCCCTCTCGCTCCCCCCTTGAGCGCGCCGCCAACGTTCTTCTTGATATCGTATGTACCCCCCCCCCCCCGCAGCTCCAGACGCCGTGAAATCGATCGGAAAAGGGTCGGCCTCTCTCGCCGCCTCATTCAGAGATCAAGCTCGGGAAGTCGCCGTGGCTTCTGGCCAGGATTCTCGGCGTGGCTGAGGGGCGGCCGATGGTGTGCCGAATGCGCAGCCTCATCCCAGCGCAGGCGCTGGCGCTCACATGCGCGGGGCGCGATCTTAGGGGCTCTTGGAGAGAAGGTGGCAGTCGACTCGCCCCCTCGCGTCTTGACAAGAATTTTGACCGACGGGTTCTCGCCATATTGGGGCGTACAGGGGGCTCTTACCGGGCCTCGGGGCCGTCAAACAACGACGCAGGATGAAACATCGGTCCCCTGGAAGGCCCTTCCAGGGGACCGGTGTTTCATCCTGCGTCCTTGTTTGACGTTATGGAAATGCAAACTTCTGGGGGTCCACGCTATGAAAGAATCACGACGGCGGGGGTCTGGGACCTCAGATCCTGCCCTCCCGAGCCCGTGCGCCTTCTGCCCCGCCGCTCCCCCGCAGGTGTGCCGCCCCGGGACCTGTGGCACAATCTTGAGGATCTTTCCTGTGCAGCTGTTTAGGTACAGCGCGGGCGCGGTCGCAAGAAAACCTCGCGAGAAGCCCAACCCTGAAAACCCGCGCGCGAGGTGCACCCGAAGAGAAACCTGGAGCACCCTGAACGCAGCAGCTCCTTCGACGGCCGCGGGAAGTCTCCGCGCAGCGCGCGGAGCGAAGCAACCCAGGGTACCCACCGTGTGTATGAGCGCTTCGGCCCCAGCCCGCGGCGCCTGCAGGGTGCGCGGTGCGGGTCGCAGGCGCAGTCGCTCCCCCCGCGCGCTGCGGAAGAGCCTCCGCCGGAGCGCGCTGCGGCACGCTCCAGAATCGGGTCCGCGGTAGGAGCCCGCCCCATCGCGATCTTGGCGGCCCTCAGCTCCTGGCCCTGCGTCGCTGGACTTCGTGGACCCCCCGCGCTGGGGCTTCGCATCAGTCCCAGCAGTCGCCGCGGAGGAGGAGGAGGAGGAAGAGGGGGAGGGGGAGGGGGAGGAGGAGGAGGAGGTAGGAGAGGAGGAGGAGGAGGAGGAGGAGGAGGAGGAGGAGGGAGTGAGCAGGAGGAGGAGGAAGGAGGAGAAAGGAAAAAGGAGGAGGAGGAGGAGGTAGGAGGAGGAGGAGGAGGAGGGGAGGAGGAGGAGGAGGAGGAGGAGGGAGGAGGAGGGAGGAGGTAGTAGGGAGGAGGGAGGAGGGAGAGGGAGGTAAGGGGAGAGCGAGGAGGAGGAGGGAGGAGGGAGGAGGGGGGAGGGAGGTAGGGGAGGAGGGAGGAGGAGGAGGGAAGGAGGAGGAAAGCGAGAGGAGGAGGAGGAGGAGGAGGAGGAGGAGTAGGAGGAGGGGAGGAGGAGGAGGAGGAGAGGAGGAGGGAGAGGAGGAGGAGGAGAGGAGGAGGAGGAGGAGGGGGAGGGGGAGGGAGGAGGAGGAGAGGAGGAGGAGGAGGAGGAGGAGGAGGAGGATGAGGAGGAGGAGGAGGAGGAGGAGGAGGAGGAGGAGGAGGAGGAGGAGGGGCAGCAGGAGGGGCAGGAGCAGGGCGAGCGCGCGGCCCGCGGCCTCCCCATCGGGTGACCGTCGGATCGAAGGTTTCGTGGTCGATCGTTGGTGGCGGGCACCAGTTCGACTCTTCAGGGCAGCCCAGCGCTGTCAGATCTTGCGCGGCGGTTGCGCGACGACGGTGGGCGCACCGTCGAAAAGGGGCCCCCTCCGTCCCATCCCTCCGCACTGTTGCTGGCGGGCACCGTTCGACTCTTCGGGGCAGCCCAGCGCTGTCAGATCTTGCGCGGCGGTTGCACGACGACGGTGGGTGGTGCACCGTCGAACCCCCCAGGACGGCCCACCGTTGGCGCCAAGGGGCCCCCTCCGTCCCATCCCTCCGCACTGCTCTTGCTCGCGCTCTGGGTTCCGCGTTCGGGCTCCGCGCCTTGAGAGGGTTCTTGTTCTGCCAGCTGCTCTGTTCGTGTGGGTCTAGCCTGCCAGTCCTCTCCTCTCCTCGTCGCGTCTGACTTGGGGCTGGAACTCTGAGCATTCTGTATATTTCGTTGCGCACTCCCCAGTTCACCGCAGCTGATCGTCGTCGTGTGTTATCAGTTGTTTGTGTTTTGTTGTTATGTGCTCTCTCCCTCTCTCTTTCTCTCTCTCTCTCTCTCTCTTCTTTTGTAATGTATATGTATGTATGCATGCATACATCCATGTATGTATGTATGCATGCATGCACGCATGCATGCATGCATGCATGTGTATATATATATATACACATAGTTTCACATATATATATATGTGTATCCCTATGTGCGTATGTGTGTATGTATGGATATATGCGTGTATGTATGTATGTGTGTATGCATGCATGTACGTGTGTCCGCATGTATGCATGTTTGTATGTATGCATGCACGCATGCATGTATGCATGTATGTGTGTATGGATGTATGTATGTACATATGTATGTATGTATGTATGCATGCATGCATGTATGTATGTATGTGCGTATGGATGCATGTGTGTATGTATGTATGTGTGTATGTGTTCATGTACTTATGTATGTATGTATGTATGTATGCATGCATGCATGCATGTATGTATGTATGTATGTATGTGTGTCTGTATGTGTGTATGCATGTATGTATGTGTGTATGTATGTATGTATGTATGTATGTGTGTATGTATGTATGCATGTATGTATTTATGTATGTATGTATGCATGTATGTATGTGTGTATGTATGGATGTATGTATGTATGTATGTATGTATGTATGTGTGTATGTATGTATGTATGTATGGTTGTATGTATGTATGTATGCATGTTTGTTTATATGTATGTTTGTATATGTGCATGCATGTATGTATGCATGCATGCATGTATGTGTGTATGTATGTATGTATGTGTGTAGTTATGTATGTACGTATGTATGTATGTGTGTATGTATGTATGTATGTATGTATGTGTGTATGCATGTATGCATGCATACATGTATGTATGAATGTATACATGCATGCATGCATGTATGTATGTGTGTATCTTCATATCTGACCCCCCCCTGCCTGCCGTTGCATGGTCACGAGCTGTGTACGTAGCTACTCGGACCGTGAGGGGTCTTCGCGCAAGGCCCTCGCCTCTCCTCATCATCTCCGTTGCCTCCTCTTTGACAGCACTCTCGTTGCGACGGCTCCCGCCACGGCGCTCCAGCACCCAACGGACACCGGTGATTCGCAAATGGTTGTTGCCATGTCGCCGCTTGCATTCAAGTGCACCCTGCGCCCTCCTCACTTTCCCTGAGCCTGCCCCGCAGGACCATGAGGGCTGGGCCCTCAGAGGATGCCTCAGTGGTGGGGCTGCGGCCAGACCAGCCAGCGGGAGGGGGGTGGCATACATGGCGGGCAGTGAAGCAGGAGGGGGAGGGGTAAAAACAGGAAAGGGGAGGGGAGGAGGAGGGGAGGAGTAAGAGGAGGAAGATGATGAGGAACGCGGGCAAGTCGGAGACAAAGGCAAAGGAGGATGGAAGAGCGAGAGGGAGGCGGGAGGTATAGGGGTGGGGAGTGAGGGGAGAGGGATTTGGGCTGAAATAAAGAGCCGGATGAGAAGGAGGACAGTGGCAATGATCAGGGGGGAGAAGGAGGAGAAGGAGGAGGAGGAGGAGGAGGAGGACGAGGCGGAAGAGGAGAAAGATGGGGAGTTGCAGCAGCAATATCTGGAGCAGGAGGAGGGGGAGGAGAAGGAGGAGGAGGAGGAGGAGCAGGACAACGAGGAAGGCGATGACCAAGAAAGAGGAGGGGCATCAGGGGAAGGGGGATGTGGAGGGAAAAGCACAGAGAGGAGGTGTAGGGGGGAGGGGGGAGAGGGACTCATGAACTGCATCGGACGAGAGAGAAGGGGCCCCTAGGTTTGCGGAATGGCCACATCCTGCAGGCCGTGACCAGGCCGTGACCCTGCCCAAGGGCTGGGCAGGCCGTGGCGAGCGTCCGAGCACTGCTCCTCCCACCTCCCGCCTCTCCGGGCCCCCCCAGGGCTCGGCTCGCCTCCTGGGGCGCCGCCCTCGCTTCGTCCCTCCTGGATGGGGATTTGGGCGCCTCCTCGCTCAGTGCCCCTCGGACGAGGATCCCGACGCCCCTGACGCTTGGAGGCCGCGCGGCAAAAGGAGCCCTCGATCCTCATCCCCTGCCCTCCTCCTCCTCCTCCTCCTCCTTTTCCTCCTCCTCCTCCTCCTCCTCCTCCTCCTCCTCCTCCTCCTCCTCCTCCTCCTCCTCCTCCTCCTCCTCCTCCTCCCCCCGAGGCCCAGATAGCACAGCAGCAGCAGATCCTCCTGGGCCAGCTGCGGCACCTGGCCGTGACCCACCCCGCGGGCTCCGGGCCTCCCGGCAGCCCGGACAGGGCCCCCCCCAAAAAGGGGACGTGTTTGAGTGCGCGTGTCCTCAGCACTGCGTCCAGAATGCCAGGGTGCGAGATCGATCCTTGCCTCCTCCTTCTCCTCCTCCTTCCTCCTCATCCTCCTCCCTCCCTCCTCCCCCCTCCGCCTCCATCTCCTCCTCCTCGTCCTCCTCCTCCTCCTCCGCCTCCTCCTCCTCCTCCTCCTCCCTCCTCCTCTTCCTCGTTGACTCGGACGCCAATTCGGCGATCGATCGATCGATCGGGCGAGTGGCAGACCCGTCAAGAGCCACCGCGACGCCCGGGGCCCCTGCATGGGGGCGACAAGGTGGGAGAGCAGGACTCTCAAAGAGGAGGCCTTTTGGGGGCCTCTTGGAGCGCTCTGGAGGGCCTGAAGCACGGAGCCCAGAAGGAAAACCATCTCTGACCCGAACCGGCTGGGGTACTTTTCGTCCGGGCACCCCCAGGGGCCGCCCCGCGCGCGCGAAGTAGAACTGCTGTAATTAAAGCACTTGCTGGAGATCTTAGTACGCCTCTTGCCCCTTGGGCCGGCGAGCTAGTATTAGTTCTTGGTGTAAGACATGTGCTTCTTTATCTAGGGTCTAGGAGGTATACGATTGCACGTTTCACTCACTGCGGACTTATTTGAAGCTGTCCAGATGTATTTTAGCAGCGGCAGTATCTACATAACGCGTGCAGTCGGTATAATCTTCTGGAATGTATGCGGCCATTCGGGTTGTTTGGCATCTAGGAGACGTAGCTGGGCTATTTCGATTGACCTGCAACATGAATTGTTGTGTCCTTTGAGAAGTTACTGTGGTTCCTTAGCGCCTCCCACCACTAATACCGCCTCGCACTTCGGACTGTTTGGGCAAAACTTGCGGCTTCAGATAAAGAGGCGATATATCTAGCAATATCGATTGTGTTTTAGCTGCATATCCGGATCTCGCAGACACGGCTTCTGACGTCTCATCAACAGTATGTTGCATGATTCCCGTTGGTACATGTATTCAAGTGCGCGCGTATGTGATAATGTAATACAGTAGATCTCATCATGTGACTTCCGACACAGAACCAGGGAACGCGCGAACCGCCCAGTCATGCACATATTTTGGCTCGGCAGGATGCCCAGTACTAGATGATGCGATCTGCGGGCCGTAATTCGTGACATTGTCCTTGATGCCTCCGCCTCTGTATCATGGGCTCTATTTGCCAGGTCGCTTTAATGCATCTTCATTGGCAGCGTTGACTCTGCTTCGCGCTCTGTTTGCACTTGGCCCGTGATGCGAACGGCACGCGCACGAGCTACATGCGTGTGGATGTTTGGGAGTAAAAAATCTTCTGGCTCGGCAGGAGGAGGAGGTCTGCCACTGGATTGCCGAAGTCGGCGGAACAGACACGGGCACCGCCGAACACACACATACACACACACACACGCGCACACGCACACACACACACGCACACACACACACACACGCACACACTTCACACACACGCACACACTTCACACACACACACACTTCACACACAATGAGCTGGACGAGTCGCTGACCGATCGGAGCTCGAACTCACGGCACGGCGAGCCTGTGTGGCGGGCTAGCTTTGTGGGCGAGTCGCCGAGCATAGGGTGGCATCTACGGAGCCATCACAGAGGAGGGGGAGGAGGAGGAGGAGGAGGAGGAGGAGGAGGAGGAGGAGGAGGAGGAGGAGGAGGAGGAGGAGGAGGAGAGGGAGGAGGAGGAGGCAGAGGGAGGTGGCAGCGCTAGGGTGACCCGCATGCCACCAGCCACCAGCTACAAGGTGGAGGGGAAGGAGCGATTCATTGGGAGGAGGAGCAGCCACAGCAGCGAGGCAAGGCGGGGGGGCGACCTGCTCTGGCGCGTGCTACCCCGCCATCCTCCCCGTCCCGCCCACCTTCCATCCTCCTTCTCCTTGCCCTCCGGGCCATGTGGCTCTCGGGTCATAACTCGGGTCCCCGGCGGCCGTTCGGGCGAACCGGGGGCCCCGGGGATTGCCTTCCCCTTCCTTGGGACGTTGACGACAACGCCGACGACGACGACGACGCCGACGCCGACGCCGCCGCCGACGGCGACGCCGACGACGACAATGGTGACGACGAGGACTACGACAACGGCGACGGCAACGACTACGACGACGACGCCCACGCCGGCGACGACGATGACGACGCCGACCACGACGACGGCAACGACGACGACGACGCCGCTGGCGACGACGACGACGACGACGACGACGACGTCGACGACGACTACGACAACGGCGACGGCAACGACGACTACGACTACGACGACGACGACGCCGACGACAACGATGACGACGACGACGACGACTACGACGGAGACGACGACGACGAGGACTACGACAATGGTGACGGCAACGACTGCGACGACGACAACGCCAGCGACGACGACGACGACGCCGACCACGACGACGTCGACGACAACGACGACGACGCCGCCAGCGACGACGACGGCGAAAACGGCGACGGCGACTACGACGGCGACGACGACGAGGGCGACGACGACGACGACCAGAGCGACGACGACGACGACACCGACGACGACGCCGACGCCGCCGACGAAGACGACGACAACGGCGACGACGACGACGACGGCGACGACGACGACGCCAACGGCGACGACGACGACGACAACGACGACGAGGGCGACAACGACGAAGACCACGACGACAACGACGACGACGAAGACGGCGACGACGACGACGACAACGACGACGACGACGACGACGGCGACGACGACGACGACGAGCACGACGACGACGACGCCGACGGAGCCGACGCCACCGACGACGCCGACTACGACAACGGCGAGGACGACGACGACGACGGCAACGTCGACCACGACGAGGGCGACGACGAGGGCAGCGACGACGACGACAACGACGACGATGGCGACGACGACGACGACGACGACGAGGGCGATAACAAGGTCGACGCCGACGACGGCGACGTCGTCGTCGAGGCCGACGTCGACGATTACGACGACGATGCCAACGACGAGGTCGACGACGACGGCGACGACGAGGGCGACGGCGACGACGACGCCGACAGCGACGACGCCGACGACAATGGCGACGGCGACGATTAACGACGACGACGACGACGACGGCGACGATGACGATGACGACGACGACGACGACGACGGCGAAGACGACGACGACGAGGGCCACAGCGACGATGACGACGAGGGCGATGACGACGGCGACGTCGACGGCGACGACAACGGCGGCGACGACGACGACGACGGCGACGACGACGACGACGGCGGCGACGACAACGACGATGACGGCGACGACGACGACGACAACGGCGACGGTTACGACGACTACGACGAGGGCGATGACGACGAGGGCTACGCGGGTGACGACGAGGACGACGCCGACGACGACGACGCCGCCGCCGTCGACGACGACGACGACGGCGACGAATACGACGACGACGACGACGACGGCGACGGCGACGACGACGTCGATTACGACGACGAGGGTGACGACGACGACGTCGACGACGACGACGACGGCGACAACAACAACGCCGACGCCGACAGCGACGAAAACGCGACGACGATAACGGCGACGACAACGACGACGACGACGACGGCGAAGACGACGACAACGACGGCGACGACAACGACGACGACGCCGGCGGCGACGACGACGACTACGACGACGACGACGACGACGACGACGGCGACGACGACGACGACGACGGCGACGGCGACGACGACGCCGACGGCGAGGGCGACGACAACGACGACCCCGACGCCGACGACTACGACGACGACGAACACGACCGACGACGAGGGCGATGATGACGACCGCGACGACGACGACGAGGACGCCGAGGACGACGTCAATGGCGACGACGACGACTACGACGACGACGGCGACGACGACGACGACGATGACGCCGACGATGACGCCGACGACGCCGACGACGACGACTACGAAGACGACGACGACGGCGACGACAGGCGAAGACGCGACGACGACGACTAAACGACTACGATGGCGAAGACGACGACGACGACGACTACGCCGATGACGACGACGACCACGATGGCAATGACTGCGACCGGCGGGCGCCGACAGGCGAGGGCGAGTATGACGATGACGATGACGACGACGACGGTGAACACGGCGACGACGACGACGCCGACGTCGACGCGGACGACGACGACGAAGACGACAATGATAACGACGAAACGGCGGCGACCGACGACGACGCGACGACGGCCGACACGACGAGGGTGACGACGACGACGACGACGGCGACGACGGCGACGACGACGCAGACGGCGATGGCGACGATGGCGCCGACGACGACGCGACGACGTCGACGACGACGACTGCGACGACGACGACGACGACGACGACGACGACGACGACGGCGATAGTGACGATGACAACGACGACGACTACGATGACGACGGCGACGATGGCGCCGACTCCAACGACGACGGCGAGCTCGACGGCGACGACCGCGAAGGTGTCGACGACGACGACAACGATGACGAAACAGACGACGACGATGCCGACGACGTCGACGACGGCGACGACGACGATGCCGACGACGAGGGCGACGACGAGGGCGACGACGACGACAACGGCGACGACGACGACGACGACGACGGCGACGATGACGATGACGACGACGAGGGCGACGACAAGGACGACGTCGAGTGCGATGACGACGGCGAAAACGGCGACTACGACGACGACGACGACGACGACGGCGAGGGCGACGGCGACGCCGACGAGGGCGACGCGGCGCCCGCGGCTCGGCCAGCGCCGACGCCGACGGCGACGGCGACGGCGAGGACGACGCCGACGGCGACGACGATGGCGACGGCGACGAAGACGACGCGACGACGACGCCGACGACGGCGACGGCGACGACGACGGCGACGCCGACGACGAGGGCGACGACCACGTCGACGTCGATGGCGACGACTACGAGTACGACTACGACGACGACGACGAGCGAACGACCGACGACGACGACGACGAGGGCGATTACGACGACGACGACG